CCTGTGTGGCTCCAGCCAGAATTCTCAATGTCAAGGGTAGCAAACGGCTGAGCGAACAGGCTTCTGTACATTTTTGAGGGTGGTGGTGATTTACACAGGCTAAGATCAGCCTAGTGGTTCTGCTATGCCCTCCCACTCCCGCTTGCAGCCATCAGCTCATTTTCAGATGCATTTTGACAAGACCAGTCCTGTGCTTGGTCACCAGACACAGAGAAGTGGGAGGGAGCTCACAGTCTGGTGGGGGAGACAAATGCAATACCCAGAGAATTGTCTCCTCCAAGCGCCCGCTTAGCTGCTCACCTACACCAAGCAGCTGGGGAGCGCAGCCCCGTGGGTGCGTCGTGACGTCAGACACAAAACTACAGCTAAGTGTTTCAGGGAATTTCAATGACCAGCTTCACCTCCTGAAGAGCCTTGGAGTAGCCTGGAAAAGGAATGGCCCCCCAGCTGCACAAGTCTGAGCACCTCTTTTGATCCCAAGTCACTTCTCTCTCTTTTTTTTTTTAAAGATTTTATTTATTTGTCAGAGAGAGCGAGCGAGTGACAGAGCACAAGCAGGGGGAGCGGCAGGCAGAGGGCGAAGCAGGCTCCCTGCCAAGCAAGGAGCCTGATGTGGGACTCGATCCCAGGATCCTGGCATCATGACCTGAGGGGAAGGCAGACGCTTAACCGACTGAGCCACCCAGGCGTCCCCCAAGTCACTTCTCTATGAGGGGTGGGCCACAGCTCATTTTGGTCACTAAAATTAACCTTTTTTGGGTTCCACAAATGAGATCTACCAGTTCTACTTCACTTTCTGGTACGAAATGGAAACTTGAAGGTAGTATTCTCTGGAGCTGAATTTGGTTCCAGGAAAGGAGAAATCGTACAAGCCCATCATGTTCTCAGAGGTGAACCAGAACTCACCTTCCTGGTTTTTGCACAGCACATTCACCATCGCGTGGAAAAATGGCTGCTTTGCCCTCATAAAATCATCTCTCCTCCAGCATCTGGGGACTGGCTCCCCCCCACGGCGTTCCCAGTCCATCTCAACACTTCAAAGAAGCCAGCTCCTCTCTAACTCAATGGAACCACCAAATTTGTTGAAAGTGGCTAGAAATTATAAATCCCTTTGAAAACTTCCATCCGTGCCTACGCTGTGATGCGTACCTTTAAGTCTTATAGCAGCACCCTCGATCAAAGTCAGTCCCGTGTCTTTTTTTTTTTTTTTTTACGATTTTATTTATTTATTTGACAGAGAGAGACACAGTGAGAGAGCGAACACAAGCAGGGGGAGTGGGAGAGGGAGAAGCAGGCTTCCCGCCGAGCAGGGAGCCCGATGCGGGGCTCGATCCCAGGACCCTGGGATCATGACCTGAGCCGAAGGCAGACGTTTTAACGACTGAGCCCCCCAGGCGCCCCTGGTCCCGTGTCTTCCAGGAAAGCTGCTGCTAGCAGTCATGACAAGGACGGGGCCAAGTGGTCAGCTGGAGAGCTCTCTGTGCCTGCTCAGTAGGGAAACAGCTGGACTTTTCAGACAAAGTAAAAACCCGAGAGTTTTAAAGGATTTATTTGATTTCTCCACATGATCACAGCTATGGTTTTACATCAATAGAGTCTGTTACTACTCACAAACAGAATGCATATTAAAACAAAAGCACTCCTTTCCTGCCCAAAGTTACACAGCGGGTACCGGGCCTCTTGGGAGCGAGGTGTCTCTCGAAGTCTTTGAACGGTATGCATTCAAGACCTGGTGTTAATTGATTAAAAGAACTAGAAGGTGAACGACAGTTCCCAGGAGGAGACGGGTCCTGCGTGGGGCCTCGATGTGGCCGCAGTTAGGCTAGTGTGTGTGCCCGCCGGGTAAGGGGTACACAGCTCCTCCCGCCTGTCCCTTTTCACCACCCCCACTTCACACTGATTTGTTTCGCCATCTGTTTCCTTGATTATTGTTGTGATTGAAGACACTTGACAGAATTACTCCATTTCCGGGCAGGAAGGGTGATGATATTTTACAACGAAACTGTAAGATGCATGCTTACCTGTAGAGACACAGCTTCATACGGAAGGCTGAGTCAACACCTAGGGTCATGTTTAAGTATTTGCTGACTGTCTTTTCAGCTCATTTTAAAGAAAAACAAGAGGCTTCTGCTGCATGCAGCGCGGGATGGAAAAATCGCTCTACACTGGGTGACTGAAGACATTTTTAAGCAAGATGTGCACATCATATTAGGATGAACTTTATTTTTACATTGTTGTACAATTCATAAACTTAAAAAAAAAATACAAATACATGATTTAATTGTTGTCCCAGAAAAGATTTTTGTGATGCTATCAGCCACTTCCACTATGGGTCTCCTGCTCCTGTCAGAAATTACTGTTTAATTGGAACAATTTGTGCGACTTGAGAGAAATGTCCCCAGTGTGTCCTGATGGTGCAGTGCTCAGCCTCCTGCCGCCTATCGGGGGGGGGGGCGGGGTGGAAGACAGGCCCCCACAGCTGTGACTCTGTGGCAGGCTGGGGTCTAGAAAGAACAGTCCCATGAAAGCAACACTGGGGAGGTGGGGGGAGAAACACAGCAATTTGTCAGAAGCTTTTGCTGCCCAAACGAGACTTGGGCAGCGTGGCTCCAGCCTCCTTACTGGAACAATGTACCTTCTGGAAGCATTTCCCATGATAAGTTTGTAAATACAACACAAAGAGTGATGAAACCCCACTGACCTGAGCCCAACACGCTGTGTGAAGTTGGAAACATGGGGAGAAACAGAATTTGTTCAAGAAGCCCCCTTTCGCTAGATCCGGCCCTGTGACGCCCCAACAAAGCCTCAGGGCACACGGATGACAGTTTTGGAGGTGAAGGCTCTGAATGGCCCGTGGAGCACGAAGGACAGCGATGAACAGAGCCCCCCACCCTGGCCATTGGCTTTGCCATCTCTTCTTTTTCATTGGTGGTCGTCCCTTCGGAAAGGGCAATCTGGTGCCCAACAGCCTGTATCTTTTCTGGAACAACCTTGAGTTTACAGTTAGACTCTACTATTGGTACAGAGGGTGAAGAAAAGCCGACATATTTCATATGTTACCACTTTACTTCAACTATTTGTCAACAGTAACACTGATATAGTTTGCAAATACACAATACATAGAGTGTGGCCTCGCACGACTGACGCCGGGTGGCATGCAGTACAATTCGACTTTTCCTGGTCAGAACAACATCCTTTAAACTGCAAGACAGAGAATGCCTCGGGGAGCCTGACTCTGCAGGAAAACCAAAGAATTTAGGAGCCAGCAGGAGCGGGGAGCCTCCCGCCAGCCTGGGCCAAATCAGACACACCCGTGCTTTTTACTTCTCTCCTTCTGGGAGAGAAACACGACACCGATGGGAAGATAAAGGTGGGCAGGTTAAAGTCACACTTCTTCCAAAAAAAAAAAAAAAAGGCTAAACTCTAGATTGCTGTATTTGCTCTCTGTGGAGATTAACAAAGTGCTCGGTTTGCAGATTTGCTGGTATGGTGGCCTTGATGATATGACAAAGGGGTGGGTGGGGAGGGAAACGGGCAGGACCCCCCCGCCCCGCCCCGGCTGGCCCGCCGGGTGGGCTCCCCTCGGTCGTCCTGCCGTCTGGCCACGGCACGCCACGCCACGCCATCCACAGAGCGCGGAGCCCGCGGCCCGCAGAGTCCCGCACTAGCTTCGCCCTTTCTGAAAGGGCTCTCCACCGGGGCAGGGGCCGTGGGGCAGTCCTCGGGTCCCACGGCTTAGGAGCACAGCACTGGCGGCTGCAGTGGCTCGAAGGGCTGAAACTACAAAGTACGGCCCGTGGGTGACTCAGTCACAGAACCGGACGCCTGCGGCGCCCGGCCCCGGGGGGGGGGCAGATGGTGTCACCACAACACGGAAGCGACAAGAGCACAGCTGAGAGTCATGTTGATGCCCTGGCAGCTAACTGGACCATGAGAAGGCAGCGGGGGGCTTCGCTGGCGAGGGCCGGCGCTCGTGGCCGGGGTCAGAGGGGCCACGGTGATGACACGGTGCGGGGGGGGGGTGTTGTGCTAGCACATGGCACATGGAATCACGATGATCACGGCTACCACTCAGAAAACAAAATGGGAAACACACACACCGCCCTGGGTTGCTACATGCTAGAATCAGCGTTCGGGCTCGGAGCGGTTCCCGGCGGAAACTCGCTCTGGGGCTCGTGCCTGTTGCGGTTGGAGACGTGATGAGTAAGTTATGGTGTTGGGGAGACGAGGATGGGAGCTGGCCGTTTTCATGTTGGAGATGAACACTTCTGCCGTGGATGGGTGCCCCCCCCCGGAGGACTCTGAATGAGTGTGCATTAAATCATATGCATATAAAAGAAATATGGATCATGGAAATTCACAGTTATCGCAGCCATTAAAGTGTCTAAGAATCTGTGTAACCAATATCCTCAGACAACCAGTTACTGGTTGTCCCGAGTTGCTACTGTAGAGTTTACTGCATTTTTATCTATTTGCTTACCTGAAATAACAGAGCAGTTATAATACTGAGTACTTATGATAGTTTTCTGTTAATAAAATAAGGATTTATACAAAGCAATATTGGACTTTTTAAACAGTTAGATGCTATGTTACTTGGCACAGTTAGTAGTGATCGCGTAAAGATTTGAGCCAGTCCTGGAGGGACTTCTCTTCTTTTTATGAAAATATGGAAGTATCTGAATTTGTTCCTAGCATTTACGTTTTTGGTTTACTCTCTCTCACACATTCATGTAAGGTACTGTCTTCTTATCAGGTAAGTGGAGCTCCTTGTAAAGTCTATATTGCTAATTTTGTGGACTGAGACGTTTCCTTTCACACACAAATACTACCTATACAGTAAATATATATATATATTTATATATTTATATATTTATATTATATAAAGTTTACTTACGTTATTTTCATCAACCATATCAGGTCTACTTAATTTTTTGCCCATTGTCAATAAAAGAGCAATAAATGCAGCAAGTTTTGGGTTTTTTGTTTTTGTTTTGTTTTTTGTTCTGTCTCTGGTTTTGTGTCTCATTTCTTCTTTTCCTAGGCTGGGTTTTCATATGCGTGTACAGTTAGGGAGCAGAGCTGAGGGCTGCTTTGGGGTGGGGGGGCAGTTCAACAGCTACGTGGCCGGTGGCACCGTTTTCAAGGCTGATGGTGGCCGAGGCCCACCCCTGGGGTCGAAGTGGATGGAACCCGGGACACCCGCGCTAAGTGCGATCGGGAGCTTTGTGCCCTACAACGTAAGCCCCGTGGGCTCAGGGGGCTCCATCCAGGCCATGGGGAGCAGAGGGGGAGGTGGAAACACAAGTGCCCTGGGTCTGGTCTGAGGCTGGCCGCCCCTGGGCATGACTCTATGTGGTGTGCAGTTGTTCCAGGGAGTCTGGGACCCTGCCCAGGCTGTCTACACAATTGTGCTGATGCCGCTGGGTTTGGCCTTGCTGCTGGTGGGGGGCGGCGGGGCGGGGGGCTGCCCGTGGTGGTGCGCTGCGTGGCCCGGGTGGCCCGGGTGGCCCGGGTGGCCGGCATGGGCCGAGGGCAGCGGTGGGTGGCTGTGCACATGGGCCCCGTAGGGCGGGTGCCCCCCGTGGGGGCCGTGGTGGTACTGGTGTGCATGCTGGATGTGCTGGGGGGGGTGGTAGTGGTGGTGGTGGTGGTAGGGGGGCGGGTTCTGCTGCATGTGGCAGTACTGGGCGTGGTGCCCATGCACCGGGGCTTGCGGCGGGCCCTCGACAGGCCCCTGGTGATGGCTGGCCACAGAGTGCTGTGGGTGGGGCAGGCCCGGTGGGGGGGGGGGCGGGGGGGGAGGGGCTGAGGACGGGTGGGCCTGGGGAGGGGGCTTCCCTCTCTTACTCCCAAATAAGGAGCCCAGGAGGGAGGATGAATTAGGCATAGTCTGGTGTGGGCGAGATGGACACTCTCGTGTTGATGTAGCTCTCCGGCGCATGTGAGGACTGCTAATGATGGACCCCTAAAAAGGAAATTCATAGAAATCAAAATTAAAAGATCTTAAAGCACTATGTCAGAATGATTTTTTTTTTTTCTTTTTTTTTTCAATGTAAAAAGTTCACCCACTGACTGCTAAGCCTTAGTTCAACTCACTGGCTGCAGAAGGCGGGGCTGGGTGAGGCTGGGTTAGCGTCACCTCCGCTCATGCTACTGGGGGCCGGCAGGGACTCAGAAGTGGCCTTCCACTGAGGGAAGTGGGAGTGGGGCAGGGCACGAGGGACCCTCCCGTCTGGTCAAAGCAGCAGCAGCAGCACAAGTGTGACTTCTGCTCTCGTCCTGACACGGAAGGCGGCCTGAGCTTTCGGATCAGGACAACTGGCCTGGGGGTGCCTGTGAGCGGCGTGTGCGGCGTGGAGTGGGGGGTGGGCTGGTGTGCATGAAGGACCCCGTTCCTGCTCAAATTGCACCCTACGCTCTCCTGGGTCCTCCCCACGGGTGCAAGGGCATCTGCCCTGCTGCGTGGGCCCCGAGGTTTCCGGGAAGCTGGTGGTAGGGACAGGAGAGGCTCGGGGAACCTTGCTCTGGGTGGCCGGGCTGCCTAGGCATTTCACTGCAGCTACCTACTGCAAACCAAACAAGGAAAAGGAAGGAAACAAAAAGGTCTGCAAGCTGAGGTTAAGATGTGAACAGTAATATAGAGATGGTTGGAAGATGAATGAAATCTCATGAAATCCACACTGAATTTTTCTTTCTCTCATGGCTCTCCTCCCCCGAGCTAGCTAAGCAAGTCCACAGTGCCCTGACTGCAGACACACAGCAATCGAAACTCCAGGAAGGAAGCGATGGGGATGGCGGAGCATGGAAGTCAAGAGACCAGCAAAACCGCCCTGCCCGCCCCTCCCCACCCCCCGCCCCCAGGACAGCATGGGTGGAGGGTGCATGGGCGCCTGGCGGCGGTGCCTCCCACCCAGGAGCAGTGCTGGCAGGTGGGGACCCCGGGGGGAGTGCCGGGAAGCCGGGATGTTAACCATGCTCGGGGGGCCACCAGGGACAGGGTTAAGCGGAAACTAAAACACAGAATCCAGAACCACCCCCACCCCCCGCCGTGGGTCCAGCCCAAACAAGCGGTGAGAGGCACGGGCGACTCTAGGTGGACGAAGCTGGCATGCAGCGGGGCGGAGGCAGGCATGGGGCGCGGGGCGTGTCTGCGCCTCTGTGCAGTAGGGGCAAGGAGGAGCAAAACAAAACAAAACGACGAGAAAAAAAAGACAACAGATATAAACCAAGGATTGGGGAAGCAACACACGACAGCCAGCTGGACGTAGGCGCTTCCTACTTACTTCCACATTGCTCTCTAGCGATCCCGCACTGCTGCGACGCCCTCGCTTCCCTGCCCAGAACATGCAATACCAGAGGTTAGACGCGGACATGAGGCCGGGCCACCGCCGGGGCCGCCGCGGGCCCACGTAAGGGTCGGAGGATGGGCTCTGCGGGGAAGCCGGCGGCAGGGCAGTAATGAGTCAAAAAAAATGGGGGGGTGGGTTTAAAGAAAAAAAATTCTTTTTCAACCAGCCCCAACTTCATACCCCTTCTCCCAGACTGGCAGTCCGTTGCGGGGAGGGGGTGCCTCCAGGTGGGCTGAGGCACGTGCACAGGTGGGGCCCCAGCCGCCTGCCAACGGGGGACAACGACGGGACAGGGGCAGCTCCTCCAACGGCTCAAAACAAACAAAACGTGGTCCTGCACAGCCCTGACTTTCCGTGGATTTCATATACACATGTATACGCATATTCGTACATACATATACATCTCCCCCCTCGCAGGCAGGGTGGGGTTGATGGTTAGGAGGAAACTAAACTTGGCATCCTGTCTTTTCCTCCTGGGGGGGGCTCAAATGTGCCTCTGGAGCCTGTTGTTTGGTTTGTGCAGTGCCCTGGCCAGGGGCAGGAGACAGGGTCAGGGGCTGCTGGGAGGGCCCTTCTGTTGGCAACCCCCCCCCCGGGGATGCTACAAGCATTCCCTCAGCTATGAGTGCTCCCTGCCAATGGCTTTTTAATATCCCCAGCACATGGCGCACAACAGGCACTCAATATAGGTTGACTATGTCAGAGGAAGGCTGTGTCTTCTTGGTTCTGGATGCCCAGGGCTCACCCTGGCCACCCCAGTCCCTCTGGAGGCTGTCTCCATGGATTTCTGCAGGACACTGAGGCTGGCAGGAAGGGTGGGTGCCCAAGCTTCGGGGTCTGGTCTCCGACCGGCTCTCAGGAAGGCAGATGAGAAGACGGAACAGAGAAGGGGCCTCCCACTTGACATTCTGTAGGCTTCCATCTGTGCAGCCCTGGCCATGAGCCAAGCACCTTTGTTCTCAGTCAAGCCCCACGGCAATGAAGGACAGGCGTCCATGCCAAGGAGGAGACGGATGCTCTGGTTGGGGGGACTGTCTGGCCCAATTCCCACAGTGAGCAGGATTCATACCCAGGTCTGCCTGCTCACCTCTGGGGCTGGGAAGCTTGGCCATGCTGCCTTCTGAGCTGAACCCAGGCTGAGCCCAGGAGCCTGGAAGATGGAAAGGTTGCTACCTGCCTCTCTGTGGCTCACAGAGAGAATGGGTCTGTGGGTCCATGGCATCCGAGTGTACTGGACTGGACTGTGCCTGAGACACAGCCTTGATCCTGGGCATACAGCAGCAGGCTCGGGGGGACATCTGGTCCCTTGACTTTGCCTGCCAATCCCCAAACCCGAGTTCCAGCTGGGAGCTTTGCTTGACTCTGGGAGCGAGCTCTGAGAGGGCCTCAGGGCTCGCTCAGGACAAGGCCACATAGAAGATTAGGGCAAGAGGGTTTTCTACCAGTTGCTGAGGACCAGGGAGAACCAAATAGGACCTGGCCCTTATTCCCAGCTGGAAGAAAGGTGAAGGTCGCGTATCCTCATCTTTCAGCTGGTGTAAGAAGAGGGCCTGACCTTCTTCTCTTCCTGCTTTTTGTCTCAACACAGTGGTCCAGAGACATGGAGCATGAGGAGGCCCTTTGGCTGGACAGGTGACTCCACCCGGTGCTCCTTTGATTTTTTTTTAGCTCAGTTTCTGCATCTGTGAAATGGGCATGCCCCTTCCTCCGAGTGGGCTGGACATGAGCATCAGACACTCAGGATATCGTGGCATCATGCAGAAATGCCGACAGTTAGGTCTCTGTCTTTGGGGTTTTAAAGTCAGCTCTCTGGCCCCTCTAAGCCTAGAGGACTCCCCTGACTGAAGACCAGGGACAGAGGAAGGCCAGCCCACGCCCCCACCCCCACCCCTGCCAGTGCCCAGCAACGTCTTCTGGCTGGCCTGCTTCTCCCAGTGGGACTTACGCCAGGCCTGGAGCTAGGTTTGGGGGTTCCATATGGTATCTAGTCTGAAGTAGAACAAAACCCTCTTCCTGCCCCATGTGGGCCAAGACTTCAGATAGTTTTATCTTGGATGTCTTTGAATGATGTTAAGTTTCTTAGAATTCATCTTTTCAACTTCTGAAATCGGCATGAGATGTGGGGTATCCCTAGAGGAGCTCTCCGCAATCCAGTCCCAGAGCCCCTTACAGGCACAACCCACAGACACCTGCTCAGTGTAGACCCGTGTCCGGGGGTGTGCACACATGCACACACCATGTACTAATGGAGGTGAAGCGTGCCGGGACAGTGGCTCTTGCCCATGCATCCACACTATCCCTCACCTGCATTCTTGACTCCAGGTACCCTCCCTCTCTCTTGGGATCCTGCACCAGCCACAGGTGAGCCCCGCCCGACCCGGTACCTCTCCTAGAGCCAGATCAGGCCCTGCCAGGCCAACCAGGGCCAGGATCAGAAACCGTATCCGGAAGGGGTTCCCAGCATGGCTCTTCACAGCCTCCCCCTGCTCCTCAGTGTCGGCACAGGATGCAGCACGGGCTCTTGACCCAGGGTCTCACCCTGTGGCCCTTAACAATGCCGGAGGCTGAGCTGGTGCTGCTTTGGCCACTGGCTGCCAGGAGCCACCAACTCTCCCCTGAGGGGGCTGCCGTGGTACAGGACATGCAGGGCCCCGGCTAAGCCCTGGAGCAATGACAGGGGCAGACGGGTCCTATGGCCTCTGGGAGACATCCTCTTTCTGGAGACCCGTGCTGGGTAGCTTGACCGGGAAGGGCAGGAGGATGTGGGGGGCTTGGGGAGAGTGTCCACCATGACTTGACTGATCTGGGCCATGGGCTAAGGCCCAGTCACACCTGTGTCCCTGGTCCTTGCAGGTCCTCGATCTCAGGCCGGCAGGACTCTGGTGCCACTGAATTGAGCACGGGGTCCCGGGCGATGGAAGACCATGTTGGGGGTGTTGGGCGGGGCCTCGCAGCTCGGGCCCCTCCCTCTAGCTCTGAGAACGTCAGGGGTTCCTGGAGGTCTCCTCGTGGTCCAAACTGTAACTGCCTCTTGGGTCTCCTCGGTCTCCGTCTGAGGTGTGTCGTCTCCTGGGATGCTGTGTGATCGTAGGTCACTCTCTCGCAGCTGCTCTCGGGAGTGGTGACACGCCAACCGCTGAGTGCTAGCTTGCCCGAGGGGAGACGGTGCCCCGAGGCCTTGCCTCTTCTCCACGAGCTCGTCTTGGTGAGGGCCACGGTGGGTGCAGTGACTCTGCCTCTGGAGAGCAGCACCCCAACCCAGTCCAGGGCATGGGATTCCTTGTCTCCGGCCGCTGAGCCCAGCATCTTCCGGGATGGCTGCTGACACTGGCCAGTCTCCCTCTGGAGATCCCAGGTGGCCCGTTCCTAGTCTAGGGTGAGGGCAGCTGCCAGCACTCCTACATCCCTTGCCTCACCCTCCAAGCTTCCTGGGTAGAGGGGGCTTTCTTCCCTGGGGATTCTTTTCATTGTCTCCTGGGAAGACTCCATCCCTACAGTTTTTCTTAGCTCAGAATGCCCAAATGACAGTGGCAACAGGAACAATAAATGGAAAGCAGCCGAATCTCAGAGCTCTGTCTCTCACGTGGCCATGGGCCTGGGCATGCGGCTCTCCCTGACCCCCAGGAGCAGGAAGAGATGTGGCTGGTCATGAGGGCCATCCCGGCCATGGTGGGAGTCTGAGTTTCAGCAGAGCCACAGTTACCCTGAGGGGCTGGACAAGACCCCTCAGCCCGCCGGGCACTGCATCAGAGAACAGAGAGGCCAGGGCTTACCCACTGCACAAACTCAAACAGAGGCCCCAGGCCCCAGCCTGCAGAGGCCCAGAGCAGTCCAGTCATGTTTAGCTGGGTTTAACAAGCCATAGGGAAAACCAGTGGTTCTCAACCAGGGGCAGTTTTGCCAACGAGGGGTTATTTTTGGGTCCCCCGCCCCCCACCCCCGCCGAGGACACCTAGAAATTTCTGGAGGCATTACTGACTCTTATGACTGAGGAAGGTGTTCCTGGCATCTCGTAGGTAGAGGCCAGGGACGCTGCTAAACAGCCTGCAGGGCGCAGGACAGCCCCCCACAGCACTAAATGTCAAGACTGCAGGGGTTGAGAAACTCTGGGTTAACCCTCATGCTGGCAATGGATTTCTGATTTTTACTATGGAAAAAAAAATGTGACAAGACAAAAAAAAAGCAAAGTAAAAAAAATCCAACTCAAAAAAGAAAAAAAAAAGAGAAAAGAAAAAACAAACCTCTGGGCAATAACTAAGCCGCAGGGAAGCAGCACTGCTGGTGGGGCAGGGGCAGGATGGGGTCCCAGGCAGGCTCCCGTCGCGGGGCCCAGAGCTGGCTGCGGGGTAGTGCCTGAGGCACGGTGGGCTGGTGAGCCCCCAGGAGGGGAGGGGGCCGATCTCGGCCTGATGGGGTCTTCTCCAACAAACCAGGGCCTATAATCAGGCTCCTAGGAGAAGCTGCCTTGGCTAGACGGGAAGGGGGGGGGGCCTGTCTTCCACGAATCCTCTGACGGCGCTGCGGGCCAAGCAGGCTGGAGCAACACTCGCTCAGAGGAGCTGGCCAGGTGGGGGCCGCCAGCAGAAGCCCTCGATGCTTTCCGCGCACCCCCCGCCCTGGGAAATCTGGGAGGCTTGAAGAGATGCTGCTTGCTTGGGTGTTAAGAGGCTGGCAGCAAATAAACACACACAGAAACAAAGAAACAACAACAAAAATCACAGTTCTGCCAGGGCTCTCCCCCCGACATCCCAGGGGCAGCTGCAGCCACCGGCTCTGGGCTGGAGGGGGGCCTGGGCTTCCCAAGAAGGGAGACCTCTGTGAGGGAAGCAAGACCAGGGACAGCGGGAGAGGGGGTCTCCAGACACAGTTTGGGGGGCTTCACTCCATTTCATTCATCAGCATAAAACACAGGGACGCAGCAGCACAGAGGACAAGGGACACATCCATCAGCGGGGCCTGGCTCGCTCTGTGTGAGAGCAGTGTCCGGAAAACAAATAAAAGAATAAACGAAACCCCTACAAGGAGAAAGGGAGAACGGGGGTAACCTCCTGGCTGTTCTGCCTTAACAAGTGGGTCCTGTTGCCTCTGGCCTTCAGGGGACGCCCGCTCTGCGTGGTCAGATGTTGCTACGTTTGGGGACGGTCACGGGAAAGTGCTCTGTCTGAGCCCTGCTGCCACCACCGGCCGCCACCGCAGGCCCTTCCCGGCGCCCCACGCGTGCCCCAGCTGCCCGGTCTGAGTCCTGCATGCGCTGGGCTAGGAAGGGGGACCCGGCCCGGCTCTTACCCGCTTCCGAGAGGTCCCTCAGGGAGCTGCTGAGGGCGCTGCGCTTGAGGCCCTCCCCGCCCGCGTAGCTGTCGTCTAGGCAGGCCCGGCTCAGCGTCCCATTGCCCGACTCCTTTTTGAGGCTGGAGCACTGGGACATGCTGGGCCGCACGACGCCCTTCTGCTTCTCGAGCTCCGCTAAAACAGAGGGGGCGAGGGGCCGGTGAGAGGAGCACAGCCTCGAGGGGACAGCCCGGGGTGGGCACGGGACCAGGGCCTTCTGTGTGGGCTTGGCAGCAGGCCCAGCTGCCATCTGCCTGGCATGGGGAGAAGTCGGGGCCCAGGGCTTGGGAAAGAGAAGGTATGAATGCTGCGTTTCACAAAGGGGAGCTGGAAGGAAACCCTGGGAGGGAGGCTGGAGAGGCGTGGGTTTTGGGTCTGCAGGAAAGACAGTCACTCTGCAGGCCTGAGGGCCGACAAGGAGACTGACTGGCCTGGGCCTGCAGATGAGCAAGGGGTAACCCGGCCTTGCCCTGGAGGGGGGCCAAAGGTGGGGATAGTTATGTGTCTCTAGGGAGCGAGGCTTGGAGCCAGGAGAGGGAAGGATTATAATCAGCTTTGATGGACCCCAGGGGATGGGCTCGGCTGTGATCCCATCAGTCAGTTGGGCCTTGATGCGGAAGACAGACAAATAATAACCACACCAAAGTGCAAAGAGCTCAGCTCCAGAACTCTGGGAACGCTCGTCTCGTGGGGTGACCAGGGAACCAGGGCCCTCGCAGGACATGCCCTGTGGTCCCACAGGCAGGATGGGCCTGGGCCGCTGAAGCCTTGGCTCTCACAGGGAGGCCTCAGCTGCCCTCCCCATGCCGCCGCCTCTGGCCTGGGCAGGTGGGCTGTCCTGTCAGCCCAGGGGAAGGACAGGCGAGGCCTCACAGAGTCCCCAGAGATGCCGGGGCTGCTGGCTCTTCCTCTCCAGGGGCCTGCAACTTACACTCTATCCTGTGCTTCTCCATCTCCTGCACTTCCGCAATGGACTCCCGCAGGTCATCGGTGAACTTCTTCCGGTCTTGAGGATTGGGAGCATTAAAGTTTATTAACACTTTGATGTCTGCTCCGGGGACAGCAGATGTGAGCCGGATGCCATTGGGGTAGTCTGCAAAGGAGGAGGAGAGAAGAACCCACGGGTCCTTGTGTGATCTCTGCAATCTCCCTTCTGGTCAGGAAAACACTAAGAAGTCTGAGAGCCAGGCTCTCAGCGGACGTGTCCAGCCGGGAAGGAAAGGCATCCGCAGCACAGACCACAGGGACTGCCAGGAAATCCCCATCTCCCGACCTGGGTCCGTGTTGTTCCGTCTGTAAGTTGGGGGCAGATATGGCTGATCTAGACAGAGGCCAGGACCCCCATTCTTCCTCAGCCTGAAGGTCATGGAGACTGGACCCTTCAATTCAAGGTCCTTGGTCACTGCCTGAAGCTTGAGAGAGTGGCTAGGGGTGAAGTCCAGGAGGAATCAGAGGTAGCATCCTGTGCTGGGTGGGGAGTTTTATCTGGTCGCCTCAGACAATTCTGAGGGTACACTGAGCTCTGTTCTCTACCAAATGGCCTCTGGACTCTCAGTTCCCTTGGATGCATCATGGGTGCCCCATGCCCAAGGCACTCTACGCTGAGGGCAGTGTTTTTCTGCTCAGACCTGTCTGGTGCCACCTCGGAGCTCATGGGGTCTCTGTGGCTTTGGTGCCCTGGCAGCACCTCTCTCCTCAGTGGGTGTTTGCAGGTTCTTGGTTCAAACACCGATCCCACTTTTGCTCAGACCTCGCGGTCAAGCCTGGGTACTTAAATACCTAGAGGCCCAAGCATGTTCCCTAAATATAGGAAGCAAACCACATGAGACCTAAGAGCAACAGAGAGAGTAGGGAGAGGGGCGTGCAGCCCAAGACTGCCACATGGGAATGCGGGCCTAGCAATGCCAAATCCCAGTTTTCAAGAGAAGTCAAAAATAACTAGAAGTTTAATATGAAGATTTAAGTATCAGCTCAATGAATTAAAAAATAAATCTATAAATAGACTATAATATAACTGAGCTGGGACTGATCGACAGCCACCACTCTAAGATCCGTGGTATGAAGGAATGTCCCATAGAAATGTCAGAGTCAACTCTGGGGCTCCTGCCAGTGCCTTGTATCCAGGACTGAGGGCTAAACCCTGGGAATCTAAAAATGATGATGGCGCAGCTTCTGCCTGAGCATTCAGTCTGGTGGGGCCCACTGCTGTGAGCATCACGACCGCTGCCACTTCTTCCAAGAGGGGGCCTGCTGCTCAGGATGATGTGGGATGGCACCATGCTCCCTGGGGCTGCCTGGTGGAAACTGAGGTAAGGCAGGCTTCCCAGCCTGGGGTGTGGCAGACAGAGCAGGAGGTGGAGAGATGGCAGGGTTGGGGACACAGCAGGTGCCAGTTCCATGTGGGACTGAGAAGGGGTAAAGAGCCCCAAATCCAAGCCCTCAGGCCCCAGGGTTTGGGATGGCCCAGCCACGGGTCCCTGGTACTTTCTCAACCTGCAGATGGACAGCTGATCAGATGGTAGCTTGGCGACCTGTCCAAGAGGACGAGGGCTTCCCTGCCGCTGGAGTCACCATGACACTCCACGGGCGCAGGCCTCCCCTGGGGTCGGTTCAGAATGGGCAAGGCAGCAGGACCCAACCCCTATCCCCATCTCAGGAGGCCTGGCTCAGCCTGCAGCTCAGGGACCCCCAACAAGGACGGGACAAAGAGGGAGAGAGGAAAAGGGAAGGGCTTGGGTGTTGGACAAGGACCAGGTCAACAGAAGAAGTCAGTGGGGGTATCAGCTCCCCCCGAAAATCCCTAGGCCCCGTGGCCCTCTCATACCCAGAGGAGACTTTTCAGTAGCAGCTAAGAATAAATCCTGTTTCAGGAGCTGTTCTAAGTACTTCATGTGCATGGACTGAGCTAAGTCTATGAGGTAGGTACTTCACAGACAAAGGGAATGGAGCCCGGAGGGGTTACACAGCAGGGCTACAGAGCCCCTGGGAGTGAGAGCAGCACCCGGACCCAGGCTCTCCGCTCAGGGCCGAGATCTTGTCCTCCACAGCCCCTCAGGCATGACCTCACCTGTTTGTTCACTTATGTTTGCACATCACCTATGCCATTTAACTTGATGTTTTCCCGCCAAATTTTTATTGATGTGAATACACTCTGCTCTAAATTAAAAAAACCTTACCACCCGTAAGCAGAAGGAACAGAAGGAGTAAATGTGATAACCACCATGTACAATGTTACTAAATTCTTCCCCATTACTGTTGCTTCTCAGACTCCTGGTCTACAAGCTGCTCTCCGCTGGTGACGCGGGAATAAGAGCATGCGTGGGAGCACCACCCTGGGGTTCTGCCCTCGGGAACCAGGAGGAAGGGGAGATCACTGGGGAGCGCAGCGCTTCCTGACTGCAGGGCAAGAGCTGTGACGCCATCTCCTGCCACATGGCGCACGGCCACGCGTGGACCAGTGCTCCAGGGCACACGCTCGTGGCCAGGCCGCAGCAGGCCCCCAGCACAGACTTACACTGGTTCTCGAAGAGCAGGACCTGCATGCCATACAGGGAGAAGGACTGTCGGAAGCTGTAGGTCACGGAGTTCTTCTTTTTCTGGAAGATCTTGGTAACCTGGGGGTAGCCGGAGACAGGGGCTGAGTCCCATCCTGTTCACTGCCCAGGCGCAGCTCTGGGAGCTCAGGATTCTAAGTGGGCCTAATGTCAGAACCCTTTCAGCAATTCAGAGGTCAGGGAGGCCTCTGGGGCAGGAGAGAGGGCTGTGTGCCCATGCATATCTTTGAACATGGATGCTGGCTTCTGTCCCTACAAGTCCCAGGTGTCTTCCTGGCTGGCAATGACACCCCTCAAGCTAGCAGAGAGGTGATGGGCATGGTGGCATGGCATAGGACCCTGAAGGCGCCGGGCCAGGCACTTATGCCCAGGACCCCACCTGAGCACTCTAACTGCCTGAAAGATTAATTTTGGAGGAGAAAATGGAGCCTCAGAAGTTTGAAGTAACTTGCTCAATTGAGGTCAGGGACTCTTAACAAAGGACTTGAAACCCACAGGTCCGGATTCCAGGCCCAGCAATCAGAGAGGAACAGCTGACTCTCAAGCAGGTAGGGATCAGGGACAAGGGCCTCTAGCAAGAAACCTGTGGCATGCGGGAGAGAGACAGAGACCCAAGGGATAGGTTAGCCCTACCATCTGCAGGGGCATCTTTATCTCCAGGGGCTAGCACCCATGCCACCTTTTTTCTGGGCAGGAAGCTCCTCAGTTTCCCTTTGGGGAACTCCCTCTCTGTCACCTTCAGTCCAGTAGTCCTGGGGGTGGGCAGTGACCCAGGCTTAGCCAATGAGACAGCACCGCACCTGCCTGGCCCCCAGGAGTGGCTTAGGCCCTGGGCCTGGGATGCAGTGAGGCCTTGGCTCAGACTCTTACGAAGAAAATCCCCCCGGTGGCCGGGGATGCAAGGAAAGGGGGCAGGTGAGGCCTGCAGCTGCCAAAGCTGACATTCCCTTCTTGGACAGAGGCTGCCTGAGAAGGGAGCCCACACAGCTGAGAGACAGTCCGAAGAGGAGTCCTGCTGACACTGTGAGCCTCCGGGAACAGTTGGGGCTGAAGGCCCAGATGCCCCTCTGGGCTTTTCCAGAAGCCAGTGAAGCCCCGTGCTCACTGGCAGTGCTGGGAGTCAGACTCTGCCTCTGCTAACCCAAAGACCGTGGGGCTAAATCCAGCCCTGTCACCCGCACCCCACCCCCACGGGTGCCTTTCCCGGAGCGCCGGCAGACGCGGCCACACGGAGACCAGAGGCGCAGGTCAAGGCCGCCCTGAGCCGCTCTCCCAGCCACGGCACGCTGTGGGGAACCACATACCACCAGGAGGTCATTAAACAGGAAGATTTCTCGCTGGTGCAGTCCAAGTTTCTGGGGCTTATTTGGGTCTGGAACCTCAAAAAGCCGGCAGTAGCAGACCAGCCTCCGGTGGGGCAGAGAGAGCACCTGTGTGGGGAGGGAAGCGCTGCCGTCAGTCAGCCCCCTGCCCCTCGGCTAGAGCCCAGGCAGCACACTCGGAACCCAGCCTGTGGGCCTGGCATTCAAGAATGCCCTCTCCCACCAACTGTGCACAGCAGAGCAGACGTGTCTGGACTCCTAGCAATTCTCCCCCACTCTTCCTCAGGCGCTCTCCTGAAGGGCCGTGGAAAGCGCCCCTGCTTCTCGTGACACCTCCTTTCCTTTCCTTCAGGCAGGTCCCAGACTTCTTAGAGCATCACACTCACATGGTAGGCCCCCACCCCCCCAGTGAGAAATTCATGATCCCTGAGTCCCCATAAAGTGCCCGTCACAGACATAAGCCCGGTAGTCTCTGTCAAGGTTTCTTCAGAGAGTGTCTACTCTAGATGAGGAAACTGAGGCACAGAGATGTTGAGCAACTTGCCTCAGCCACACAACTGGGAAGGTGTAGAGCCGGGAGCAGAGTCCAGGCCCCTCCTAGAGAATCCCGACGGTTCTGATGCCCAAAAAACCCTGTCCCAAGTCCTGAGCCAGCTGCCACCACTCTGTGGGGCTTGGCCTGGGCCTCCACTCTGAACATGCCTAGCACGGGTTCATGTGAGGCCCCTGCCTGCCAAAGCCCAAGCTGCTCTCAAGGCCAGGTGCAACTTGTATGGTGTCTGAGGGCTGTGGTGACAAGCCATCTGGGAGGCCCGATTATGGCTCTGAGAGCATCCAGGCTCACACAAGAGACAGCAAGTTAGTAAAGGGCCAGGACGTGCTGGGTAGTGTCATGGCAGGCAGGCAGGGTCCACTGTGCAACAGGGGCCCTGGTGCAAGGATGCTCAAGCTCAGCACACCCCTCAGTTACCAGTTTCTAAACCCAGTCAGGATAGCGATCCCTTTCCCCAGTCCTCAGATGGGGAGAGAGTGCGTGGCCCAGGCTGGGCGCGCTCAGGGAGCGGCCCTGTTTGGAGGAAAAGTACCAAGGGGAGAGGATGGCGAGAGGTGGGGCCGGAAAGGCGGGTGAGGGCAGGTCACGGTCATGGCAGCACCCAGTGGTCTGCCTCTGGGGGAAGCTGGGAAGAGGGGGAAACGGACAGGTTTGTGATGCTGACTCTCGCAGCACAGGGCTGCCTGGCGAGAGGGAGAGACAGACACATACGGCATGTGCCACGTGACTGCCAGGTTAGCTGTGTGTCCAGGTGCTCCTGGGGTGAGCAGGCAAACCTGCTCCAAGCTGTGACAATGGAGTGTCAGGGGGCAGAGCGTGGGCGGAGTGGGAAGGATCGTCTGTTTCAGGCACAGTGCCTCTGGGTCTGGGAACAAGCCTTGGCCTCAGTGCTCAGCCGGGCTCAGATGAGAGGGAAGGAGACTGCTCTAGCCTGATGGCGCAACCCGCGCCCTGCGGCCGCAGTCTCTGGGCCTGCAGAGATTCGAGGCTGGGATAATTATGAAAATCAAATTTCTTAGTGCTCCAGAAATTAATTCAAGCAGTTAGAATCGTAGATCTGGGAGCTAGGGGAGGCAGTGATGTGAACAAAGGACACGGGGGCCACCCCCAGGGCGGGCTATCAGCCAGAATGTAAAAGCAGAAGGATACTCACACAGCCAAGCCCGTGATGCAAGGATCCAATCTATGCAGGAAACATGAAACAAACAAAGATATTAATGATCCAAAAAATGCACCTGGGCCTGGAGACAGCTGATGGGACGACATCCAAGTAGGTAAGCACCCCTCCTGTGGCTCCCATGTCCTCTGTCCAGACACGCCACACACAGTTCTCGCAGCCAGAACTCTCAGGGAGCAATGAAGGCGTTCCTGGGCCACCAAGGGACCACTGCACAACTCTGGCTGTTGGTTTCTTAAGAGCTGCAGGCTCTCTTTAAATAGAACCCAGAGCCAATGGTTGTTATTCCCAAACAGCAGGGGCCACCCTACACCTGAAGTAATTCCACCACCCTGCCCCTAAGGGGCCAGGTTCCAAATGGCATCAGGGCCGCTCTCCGAAGCTGAAGCCAGTGAGGTGGGCCCGGGGTCACATGGAGCGGGGGTGGGTGGGAGTGAGGGAGCCAGGGACGCCGGGTCACCACATACCGGCTTCTTCCCCACGATGAGCTTCTCCACCTTCTGCACCTGGGACACGTGGTCCTCATTGGTCTTCAGCTCTCGCTTGCGAATGCGCTCATAGATCCCGATCAGCATCTCCCGGGGAATGTCCTCACCATCGTCCACACCTGGGCAAGAGAACGGCAGCCAGGTGTCAGGGAGGGCCAGGGCCTGGGTGGCGGTGGCAGCACTCAGCTTCGGGCCCCAGGCTCACCCCTCATTTACCAGTTTCTAAACCCAGTCAGAATGGTGATCCCTTTCCCCAGTCCTCAGCAGAACCCACAGCCACTGAACATCTTCAGTTCATGACAAAGTGTCTCGGAATCCTTCCACCAGGACCAGGCCAGCGCAGCCATGCTCCAGGGGCTTTGTGCACATCAGCTTGCTAACAGGCCTGCGCCCAAGTTCTTGCTTCACCCCTGACCAGCCATGTGACTGAATCTCTGAGCTGGGGGTCCTATTTGAAGTGGACCACCAAGAGCACCACCGGTGGCTTCCCGGAGATCTTGTGGGGAAGCCAGAGCAGCCCTGGTGTTTCCCAGAAAGTGAGAATTCCATGCACCTGCTGCTAGCTGTCATCCACATCATGTGCGCAGAAGCTGGGGGCCTGGCTTTGAACCCGGGCTGCTCTGACAACAGGCACGTACCCTTTCTGCTAAACCCTGAAAAACTGCTGTGAGGAAAACTCAGCCCCACTCAGGAGAGAAACGCAAACCCACACCAGTCCTCAGACTGCAGGCTGGCAAAAATCCAGGGGTTTGGTAACTGGTGCTGTTGGCGAGGCTGTGGGAAGGGGTCTCTCACACATTGCTGGTGGGACCCGGGCGTGGTTCCGTCCCTGCGCTGGGCCACTTGCCTGTCACAATTATAAACTCAAACCCCCTCTGGGCCACTGACTGCGTTTGGGGGGAATTTATCCCACGGGACAGGATACGCAAAAAGGTGACTCATTGCAGCATGGTTTCTAAATAGCGGAAGACTGGAGTTCACCCATTTACCCATTAACAGACTGATTAACCCATCACCGTGCAGGAGGGCAATGAAATACCACACACGTGCCAGGAAAATGAGCAAGGCCATAGGGAACCGACATGGAAACATTCTCTTAGATTTGTCAAATGAGGAAAGGAAGGTGCCAAACAGACGAGGGTAAAACCAGTCACACACGTTGGTACTTGCGAGAGCAGAGGGGCTCTGGTCGGTACACCAGCGACTGAATGACCCGGGCACACGGAGGGGTGGGAGGGGCTCCGCCACAGATCTTTCCTACTTTTTTAACAGACTATTTTTTTAGAACTGTGTTTTGTATGTGTTTTCAAGAAGATTTTATTTATTTGTCAGAGAGAGAGTGAGCCCAAGCAGGGGGAGAAGCAGGCAGAGGGAGAAGCAGGCTCCCTGCCAAGCAGCGAGCCCGATGTGGGGCTCGATCCCAGGACCCTGGGATCATGACCTGACCTGAAGGCAGACGCTTAACCGACTGAGCCACCCACGCGCCCCTAGAACTGATTTTTAGAGCAGTTAAGTCCACAGCAAAATTGAGGGGAAAGCACAGTGATTTCCCCATAACACCTGCCTCCCCACCCCCCCACTACCAACCTCCCGCATCAGAGTGGTATATTTATTACAATCGGTGAAACTACACTCACACATCATTCACTCAAAGTCCACAGTTTACGCTGGGATTCACTCTTGGTGTTGTGCATTCGATAATAAATGTTTAATGGCACATACCCACCATCGTGGAGTCAGAGGGGACAACGTCACTGCCCTGAAACTCCCCTGGGTTGCACCTACTCATGCCTCCCTCCCTCCAACCCCCAGCAACCACGATCTTTTATGTCTCCATAGTTTTGCCTTTTCTGGAATGTCATATAGCTGTGGCCTTTTCCGAACTGGTTTCTTTCACTCAGTAATATGCATTTAAGGCTCCCCCAGGTCTTCTCATGGCTTGATAGCTCATTTCTTTTTAGTGCTGAATAACAGTGCGTTGTCTGGAGGTGCCAGTTTATGTATTCGTTCACCTACTGAAGGACATCTTGGTTGCTTCCAAGTTTTGGCAACTATGAATAAAGCTGCTATAAATATCTGTGTGCAGGATTTTGTGTGGACATATGTTCTCAACTCCTTTGGGTAAATAGCAAGGAACGTGATTGCTAGGCTATATTACTTTGTTTTGTTTTTTTTTTTTAACTGTGAGGATAATACCCATTCAAAAGAATCAATCTAGAGAATTCAAGAACAAGTATCAATAAAATAAAAGCATTGCTCATCCGGCTTCCGTGCTGGTGAGCTATTCCTCCCCTACCCATCTTCCAACCCCCCAGAGGTGGTCCTGCTGCTGGACCTACTGGGTGAACTGGGGTGAGCAATTCCAGAGAAAATGTGTCCAGTGTATGTTGAGTGGGGGGGATGGTTTCCTCTAGAAAGAACAAGCTGGATGTCTGCCCAGTGCAGAGCACCAGGTGCGCTTGGGGAGACTAGAGGCCTTCCCCCCACTGCCATGCACTTGCTGTGTGATCCTGGGCGAATCCCCTCCCTCTCTGCCTCAGTTACCCTTCTGGAACACAAGGAAGATGGAACAGAACACTCCCGAGTTCCTGGCTGGAAAAGATGGGATTTGGTGGGAACGGCCCAAGCTTAGAAGACAGAACCAGCAGCTTGCTCCACTGAGAAGTGGGATGATAATGCCCAACCCCCGTGCCCCAGACTGCTGGGATGGTCACGTGCAAGGGTGGTACAAATCACAGGGCCACTGCCATGAGGGTGGCTGCCTGGCAGTATCTGACCCAGCAACCCCATCCTTCCCCTGGCCTTCTTTCCTCTGGGCTAATCATTTCTGGCTCCCCCTGTGGTTCCCCACACAGGGCGGTGGGGGGGGGGGTGTCCCAATTACATAGGTGAGGTTCCCAGGCAGAAAAAAAAAAAATCACAGTCAAATCACAAAGACCCTTAAACTCCCCCGGGGTCGCCAACAGCATGTCGTGTACAGCCTGCTTTCTGCACCCTGGGGCCACACAGGACTCTGTGAAGACCAGAATCAGGCTCAGCCCTTTGAGGAGTGAGGTGTAGGGCTGACAGAGGAGCGCACATCCCTGCCCCATCAAAGCATCTGCTGGCCACGCTCTTGTGCTCTGGTGCTGACTTGCAATTACGGAAGTTCCCAGACTCCTTAGCTTCCTAGAAACTCGAGCTGAGACCTGAATTCCTTGGGGCCCACAGCACCCCTTAGGCCTAGTGGAGGGCCACACACCCTGAGTGCTCAGTGCAGGGAATGGCCATCAGCTGGGTGGTCTGAACCAAGCCGTGGCCCCTGGGCTTCCAACCCCCCAGCTGGGAACAGGGGGCAGCCCAGCCAGCTCTGGGTGGGCATCCCCTTAGCCGGCTTGTTGCAGGGGTGCCCACCACCAGGGGGCGTGCTAGGACAGTTCAAACCCCAGGAGGGTCATCCTGGCCCAGGAGGGGGATGACAGAGCAGGGGCTTTGAAAGAAAAAAGGAGAAGAGGAGTCCATTTAAATGGCTCAACAAGCTCACAGACTTGGGAACTGATTTAAACCAGCTTTTTCCTTTTTTAAAAACATGACACCCTCAGGGGCGCCTGGGTGGCTCAGTCGGTTAAGTGTCTGACTCTTGATTTTGGCTCAGGTCATGATCTCAGGATCATGAGATGGAGCCCCATGTGGGGTTCCATGCTGGACGCAGAGCCTGGCTAAGATTCTCCCTCTCCCTCTCTAAAAAAATGTGTGTGTGCGTGCGCATATCTCCACACACACATATGTATGCGCACCGGACACCTGACACTCTTTGTGAGGGGACCTCAGCCCACTGCAGCTGGAGTTTCCCCAGGAGAGGGACACAGTCCCTCCTCTTCCTTCCAGAGACTCTAGGTACATGAGGACATGCTCTCCCGCTAACATGGTGCACCTGGGAGACAGCTGTCCCCTTTTCAATGCCTTTCCTCCACAATGACACCAGGAAGGCCTCCCTTCCCCCTGCCTACCTTAGCACCTCAGCCTTGGGGCCCGGCCAGAAGCAGCTCTGGTGCTTTCGACCACTGAATTCATTTTTGTAGTGCCTGCCTAAGTGTGCCAAATGATACGGGCTTCCTGTTTATAGCGATGATGGAAAGTTCCTCTAAAACACACACACACACACACACACACACACACACACACACACACAGGCAAGTCAGTTTCACAAGGAATGTCGAGCGTAGGAGAGGGGGGCAAGCGGTGATGGGGACAGGGTGGGCCAGCCCCGCCTGCCTGAGGTACCCAGCACCCGGGCTCCAGACTGTGCTCCTTCACATCCCCCGATCTGGCCTCTGGGGACCCTAGCATGCTGGGCCGAACTTTCTTAGGCCTGGCGCCCCCTCTCCACCTCCACCTGTCAAACCCCTGTGCGTCCTTCCTCCACAAGTGAGGTTCGTGGTACCACGAGACCCAGTCTGTGCTCCCACCGTGCGTGTCGCTGACTGTCATAGCAGTCAGCACTCTTCAGGGTCATTTGTGCCGTGTTTGTGGAACCAAGGCTCACCCTGGGTCCCTGTGGCAAGGACGGGGTGTGTGGGAGCCCAGCCCCCTGGCTCTGCCTGTGCCTGGCTGGGCACGTGTTCTGAGGGACGGCTGTACGCCAGAGCCCCGGGCCCAGGCCGGCTCACCTCGCAGGTTCTTGACGAAGTCCTCCAGCTTCATCTTCCGCTCAGGTTTGACATTGGGGCTGTACATGTCTGTGTTGAGCAGGATGATGGCGAACGCCAGGATGAAAATGGTGTCTGGGTTCCGGAACTGCCGAACCACCCCGGGGTTGCAGATGCAGTACCGCTGGCTGGGGGCCGGGAGAGGGAGCAGGGTTAGGACCTCTTCAGTCAGGGCAGGACGCAGGTCTGCCCCTCCCTCAGGATGGCTGCCACTGCTCGGGCCCCGGCACTAAACAGCTGAGGCTGGCCACTGCCCTCGGAGCCTCAGTTTGCACATCTGGTCAATGGGGTAACACCTGCTCCTCTTTACGCTAGTTACACCTCAGCCATCTGTCCTCTTGCTGGCGATAGGGGGTGGGGTGAGGATCGCTACTTCCTGAGGCTGCTGCTTCCTCGGAATTGGATGCAGCCCAGAAGGCGACCAACTTTGGGCCAGTGGGGCATGAGCAGATGGGATGAGGGCATCTTTAAGGATGTACCTTAAAGGGCAGAGTCCACTCTCTTCCCCTGCCTGGAACAGGGATGTGATGGCGGGCGTTGGACATGCTACCTGGGACCCTGAGATGAAAGGAGCCTGGCTCAGGGAGGGGTGGGTAAGGGGGGCAAACTGGAGAAGAGGAACCATTGGGTGCCATGACTAAGGCAGGAGTCATCGGAGCTCAGACGACATGGGCTTCACTCCTGTCTTCTCCATTAGTGCCGCCACCTCCAGGAAGCCCTCCTGGAAGGAAGTGCCCGAACAACCCCCTCCCAGGGCCCCAGAGTTGTCCTCCTGTTGTGTCCTCATTCCCAACCTTGGTCCCACCACTGGTGATGAGCGCTGAGGGCTGGGTCAGGGGCTGACTCGTGTCTCCCACACCTAGCGTGGGCATGGAGGATCTTACCCAGCCACTGTGTACACAGTCCTGGGAAGAATGACTGTGGGGTGGTAGCTGACCTCGATTGTGGGCTCTCTGTCATGCCAGGCACTTGGCTAAGTGTGCCCACACGCCCAAAGTGGTTTAGTCCTTCCACCAGGTAGGTGCTTTTGTGATCACCACGCTACAGGCAAGGACACGAGGCACAGAGAGGTGAAGTTACCCGTGCAAAGTCACATAGTAAGTGGCAGAGTGGATGTTAGAGCCAGGCCAACTGGTTCTGCAGCTTGTGCTCTGAGTCACTGTGTGAGATAGGCTGCCCTTTGTGAATGGGCAGACAATGACGACACAGACTCATGAATGAGTGATGCTCATGAGGACCTGGAGGAACACAGACTGTCCAAAAGTCTGGTTCTAGAGATAACCAGCACAGCACCTGGCACACAGAAGGGGCTACTTACTGCCTCATTCCCCAGGCAAGTTCAGGGCCACCTGACCCTGCCTTGGGGACAGGGCTGGAGAGGGGGATTCCGGCCCTGAGCCACGGGCCTGAGCCAGGAACCTTCCTCTTCCCGACACCCACCCATGCCCTGCCCTGACCCCAACCTGAATGCCTCGATGAGCCGCTCCACCTTCTGAGCCTCCCCTTGGACCCGGATGTGTGCCTGGAACTTCCTGAGGGCTTCATCTAATTCCATGGCGGAGAAATCCATCTCATCCACCACACAGCTGAAACGAGAGACCAAGGCCCCATGAGGGTCTGCCGCCCATGCAGCCCCTGCTGGCCTTCCTGTAGGGGGCAGAGCACAAAGGGAGCCCATGCAGGGCAGGCCGTGAGCTGCCCAGAGCCAGGGGACCCAGCCGCCTCTTGCCCAGAAGGGCCCTCCGCCTGGCTTCCTCCAATCACTAAACATTTCAGATTACAGCCCAAAGACCCTGTGCTTCTGGGGGAGTCTACAGACCCCCTGAAACTACAGGAAAATGTTGGTGCCCACATCTCTGTGCGTAGCTTTCTACAGAGAGGCCAGAGCCTATGGCCTATGGCCGTTCCTGATAAAGGCCCTCAGCGTGCACATTGCCCAGGGCACAGAACAGCACGTGACGGCAGGAGTCTTCTCGGGCTGTCTGTGAGGGATGCCAGCAGAGCCCGCCCATCTTCCCCAGGAGGTCGGGGCTGTCCACTAACGTGTCGGGCAGTGACTGTGCACTGAGCCCATCTCCCCACATGGAGGGGCCAGGGTGTCTTTCAAGGGGCACCTTGGAGGACCTGTGCCATCCTCATCTGCCAATCCGCCAAGGGGAGTGGAGCTTGCAGAAATGGCTGAGCGGGTTTTGTCTGGTTCCCCTCATCCCAGCCCTGCCCTTGCCCTCCGGCACGCCATGATTTGTCCTCTGAGCCAGACCCCTGAAGGGAAAAGGTGGGGTCTGCCCCAGGGACCCACTCAGCAGGCTGTGGTGTCCACTGCACCTATTTGTAACAAAGCCATGGCCACCCCTGGTGGCGCTGCAGAGGCCTCGGCCATAGCGGGGCCTAATCCTCACTGCCAGGGCCTTCAGTCTGGGCTTGGGCATTAACTCTGGCGCCCCTGATCTTCTCTGAGTGCTCATGGCTCTGGGGGCACCATCCTTGGAGGCTGCTGCAGAGCAGGTGGGGGAGGGCAGGGGCCACACAGGGTAATTTGCCAACTAGCATCTGAGCTGGACGCCTGGTGTGGAGGGTCGGGGGTGGGGGTGGGGTGAGGATCGCTGCTTCCTGAGGCTGCTGCTATTTTCTGATGGGGGAGAACAATGCACGGATTTCCTACGGACCAGCAGCTAGCTTGGGGGGAGGGCAGGGGGAAGCCTGGGGGGAGCACAGGAATGGTTGCAGGGGGTGGGGGGCTGGCCCAAGACCATCTTAGGCCCAATTCCCTAAGGACCTCATCTGCTTTCCCCTGAGCTGCTTCCTGAGGCTGGTTTAAAAGGCGGAGAGGGGCGCTAACCATATGAACAATGCAGCAGGCTTTTTCCGCTGAGGGCCAGAACAGAAATGGCAAGCAGGGAGAATGCAGCCCAGGTGGGCACATCTGTCCAAGGAAGGGCACAGATGCCATTTGGCTGGCTGTTAGCTACAGCTGCCGCTGAACGCCGTGGCTCACTGTGACCCGTGTGTCTGTGCATGTGCTGGGTATACGTGTGACTGAATGAGTATATACGTGTGCATGTGAGTCTGCGTGTGGTGGGTGGGGGCGACCCGGGCCAGCCCTTCCCTGGGCCCGGGTTTCCTCACCTGTATAAGAGGCTGGGGCAGCTGCCCACCTCCTTCCAGGGGAGTGCAGACATGGTGGGCACGCATGTGGCCAGGCTCCTCCTTACGGCGGACACGCCTGGCCCCAGAAGGCCCGCTGCCCGCCCCCTTGCCTTTGTTCTTCCATCCGATGAGGCAGGGCTGGACGGATGCAAGGTACTGCCCTTGTTACTAATGGTTCGCTCTTTACCCCACTTTGATTTCTGCTCCTGGCCCACATCTCGGTGTGTAGCTGCCTGGTCAGAAATATCCTCACTGGAGATGCTCCCCTGGGGCCTGAGCCGCCCTATTCCATCCTGGCCCACGGCTTTGGCTCCTTCCTCCTCTGTGCAAGGGGCTTAGTGAGACCCGACACCCACCCTTGCGTGTTTGAGGATGACACAGGGCCCGTACACAGTAACTGCTTTATAAACCCAAGGGTCCAAGTGCAGGGGGCCTTTCTACCTAGGGCAGTCTCAAGGAGGAATGGAGAGACTTGGGGTACAAGCTGGACAGTGCTTCTCAAAACTGTCAGCAGTTCCCAGGGAGCTGGAAACAGGGTTTTCTGCAGAGTTGCAAGTAGCTGGGAGGGCTGTGGCTGCCAGCCATGGTTGGACTCTCACTCTCAGATCTCCCAGCCAGAAGACACGCAGGGGAGGGAGGCACTGGGGTCCCTCTAGGCTTCCCCCGGGCTCCCCCCACCCCCGAGGGCGTGTCAGGATGGTTGGCAGTCAGGCTGGGGGACTGAGTTCAGACCTCCAACCCGCCAGTGCTGTAGTGGCTTGGCCCTGCTGGAGAGGGATGGAGGGGCCAAGGGTGCGTGCGTGGGGACCCCGCAGGGTCAGTGTGTGAGCTATAGCGCCCGAGGGTGGAAGCACGCATGTATGCCTCGCAGGCTGTGATGTGCAAAACCATGTGGGGTGTCTGTGTGTGTCCAGGAGCAAGAAAGAGCTAAGGGGAGGATTCGGTGTGTGTTCTAGCAAGCAGGGTGAGCCTGACACCGCGTGCGCGCAGGTCCACCCCCCCCGCCCCCAGCCACAGAACTCACTCGAGCACGTCTCGGTTGAACTGTTTCTGTCGGTTGCCCAGGAACTCGCCGATCATCTGCCTGCTGAGGCCCTTGCGCTGCAGCAGGAAGTGGGCTACCCCCACTGGCGTGTCAGGCACAAAGCCACGCTCGATGAGGTACTGGACGCCCTTCTCAGGCTTCCTAGGGGCAGGACGAGAGACAGGCTCAGCCCTGGCTGCCCCAACCCCTCCTGGCTTGCCCTCCTCCCTGGGTACTCCGGGTGCCCTGTCCTGGTCCGTCGGAGGAACCCAGAACTGCCCAGACCCTGCACCAGGCATAGGCTGGGACTGGGCCATCAGTCGGAGCAGGGACCGTCCCCACCCCCCTCGTGTTCTGCACTGCCCCGAACGCCCCTCAGTGTAGAAGTCACTGTCCTGTGTTTCACTGCCAGGCAGACTGGAACCCCTTGCCCAGCACATACTGGCCTGCCCTCCACCCACTGACCACAGTCTCTAACACGCGCCGAGCCCTTACTCTGAGCACCACTGTCTAGGCACCCTACGCCCACTAACTTCTCACACTCCTCCTGGGGGTCAGCACTCTTGTTACCTGAGCTGTTGAGGAGCCTGACAGCCACGTGACCTAGCCAGCAACCTCAACTACCTTTCTTGTAAGGACTTCCTGAGTTAACAGTCAGGTGCCTAGAACGATGCGTGCAGTAAAGCACCATGGAAGGTTCTCATGACTAGCCCCAATTTATAGGAGAGGAAGTGAAGGTGCAGCATTGACCCTTCCTGGGCAAAGGGGTTTCTGGGAAGGGCTGGGCTGGCCCTGCCGGGCTGGGAGCCCTGGGGCCCAGCTGGGCTGTGGTGGAGGGAGGCCCCCTCAGGGACTCAGCAGGGGTCCAGGCTGGCCCTTTCCTCCCTTTGGGCCTCTGTCCTCTTGCTGGTCTGTGGCATGGTACAGGCTTGGCTGACCTCACAGGGTGGTGTGAGGGGGCCGCATGTATGACCCTTGGACAGAAGGTGTCCTCTGACAACCCAGAGCCGCAGACAGGCCTGAGGAGCCGTAGAACCCTTGCGGTGTACCCAGCACCCGTGCAGGGGGTGAGGGGAGCTGGGCCCCACCGCTTGCCCTGGCAGGTAAAGATCAGTGTTTTGATATCCCCTAGCAGCCTGGCAGCGAGAGTGGGTATCCACCTGTCCCCCATAAACCATGCGGCTCTGGACTGACAGCAGCATCCAGCACATAGTGTATTTCTACCTGCAAGCAAAAGCAGAGCTCCTGCTGCAAGGTGACCTTGCTATTTTTACCCCAGGATAACCACACACCCTAATATCACCTTCAGGAGTTTGGCAGGGAGCGGCTGCTGGCCAGCTGGGTCCTGGCACGGCTCCCCCAGCCCTGCCACGGCTCCCCCAGCCCTGCCACATACCCCATTCCTCCCCTAGAACTCTGGGGTAGCCAACCAAGAGCTGCCCCAGCCCCTCGGCTGCTCACACTCCCTCACTGCCCTGCTCCACGCCAGCCCCACGGGGCCCCGCCCGTGCCCACTTCCCTCTTCCTCAACTTCTAGGTCAGAGGTCACCCGGCAAGCCCACAGACGTCTCTTCTTTAGCTTACACGACATTAGCGAAAGCAATTCCAGTGAGTTGCCAACATGTAGAAATTGGGAGAGCTCAATCCAGAATCCAGATTTCCGGCTTCTCTTGAAAAATCAGGCCATCTGGCACCCCCGGGCCTATGCCCCTGTGTGGCCGTGACTGGAGAGCTGGGCTGGGCCGCCCCACTCAGGCACCCTGTGTCAGCCACCCAGCCCAGGGCCCCAGATCCAGGCCCGGCCTGCTTCCCCGGGGGGCTGGCTGCCCTCCCCACTCGGCCCCCTCCTGTGTTTATACACCAACGTCACATAGCATCTCGGAGTTCAGGATACGGAGCAGAACGCAGCAGGAGAGTGGAACACACCACAGGAAGGAGAGTCTTACAAGGGGCCATGGAAATGCGGACTCTTCACGGATTAAGTACCCAGGGTCTACATTTTGCTAGGTACCGCTCAGGATGACAGCGGTGAGCCGGGCTAGTCAGGAACACCCCACAATGGCAGGCTCTAATCCTTGGTCTAAAGGACAAAGGGACTGAATGATCGCTGGAGGGCAGAGGAGGGGCTCCTGCAGGTGATTCTCTGAGCAGGTGACCCTGGGCAGTAACCTAAGTCATTAGGGAGCTTTCTGGGTGGAGGCAACAGTGAATGCAAAGGCCCTGAGGTGACAAAGGGTTTTGCATGATCCAGGATCAGAAAGCTGTTGTGGGGGGGCAGCTGAGAGTAGGGGCCCCTGGGGGAGGGGAGCTGTGCAGGCCACAGGAGGAATCTGGTCTTCCTCTGAGTGCGATGAGAAGCCCCAGTGTGTTATGAATCGGGCAGTGAGGGGACCACGCTCTGTGAAGAGCAAGGCTAGGTCCGAAGTGCGAGCTCAGGGAGGAGCTTCCCACAGGCATCCAGCCTACAAGGCAGGAGGTGGGGAGAAGCAGCCCATTTTCGAACACTGCCTGAGAGTAGGGATGACAATAATTGCTGGTGGATCCGAGTTTGAACCCGATGACTCCAGCTCCGAGTCTGAACCCAATGTGGGAGGGACTGGTTCCACCTGGCAGGTTTCGCAGTGAGGTCACGGGAGAGAGGAATCTGATCTCACTGGGCCTTGACCAGTGACCAGCAACTCGCTGAGCAACTGAGAGGAGGGATGTGGTGGCAGGAGGTGCAGGTAAGGAGCTGGGGCCGGGGGTGCGGGCCAGGCTGGGAGCTCCAGGGTCAGGATGAATATGGCTGTCAAAGGAAGCCTCTGGAAGGCTCTACGCAGGGGAGTGGCCCAGCCTTCACCATCCTCTTCAGCCAGTGCACTGGACATCCGATGGTGTGAGTCCCCTGCCTGGCAGGCCCTTGCTGGACCTAAGGGCACCTTGACAGGGCAGTGAGGCCCCGAGTGTGCTCTTGGGGGGGCCTGCCAGGCAGGGGTCCTCGACCCACCTGCTCCCTCACAGAGCTCCATGCTGACGGAAGGGGCATGTGCCCTGGATCCTGCTAAGCGGCAGACACAGTGACTTGCTGGGTGAAGGGATGCGAGGAGATGAGTCGTTAGTGCTGCCCACCCTTGTGGCAGTTAGGGGACCAGGTGACATACTATGGCCGATGCACCGTGAGAGAAAGGTGCGTGGCACTTCCTATGGGAGCCCCACGATCCCTGATGGTGCCTTCCCTTGACCCAGGGATCCAGGGAGCCCACCTGGAAAGGACGCTCCTGCTATCTCGTCCCTGGGAGACTTGATGAGCACAGCCCCTGGCCAGCCTGTGACGGATGCCGACGTGCCAGGGGAATAACCCGGGCTGCGTCAGCATGCCAGAGCCCACCCAGACTGGCCAAGAAGGGTGAGTCTGGCTAGGAAACTAGGTCACAGGGCGTCTAGTCCCACCCCAAGGCACAGACACAGTGGTGGGGCCCTGTCTCCTCCCCAGCTGTGGCCTTACATTTCCTTCCTTAGGAGGGTGCTGCGGGACTTCTGTCTGGAACCCTGGGCCCTAGAGACACAGAAGAGGACACAGACTGGGGCTCACCCGGCTCCCGATCCTTAGGTCCAGCGAGGGCCAGGCTCACACAGAGCACACCCAACAGAAGCCCTGGAGAAGGCACGCCTTCGCCGGTGTCACCAGGACCCTGTTTTAAAACCTTCCAGGGCCTCCCAACCCCTGCAGGACAAGATCCAGGCTTTCTGCCCCTGGATTCACTTCTTTATTCATTCCACAAACATCTGTTGAGCCCCTGTTCTGGGCCAGGGGTTGTGCTAGCACGCCTGTGGTCCAAAGTTCCCATCCTTGAAAAACACCCTAGCTGGAACATGGTAAAGGAGGGAAATAACCTCCCGGGATATAGAAATACAGCACAGGGGTCACAGGCATGTTCTCTGGAGTCAAAGGCCTGAACTCATACCCAGGCTCCACTCACAGGCTGGGACAAGTTACTTAATTTCCCCGTGCCTCAGCTTTCCCGTCTGTATAAGGGGGTCAGCAACAGTGCACACGGCAGAGGTGCTGTGAAGGTTAAATGAGTTAATGCCTCTGAGACTTCAAAAAATATTGTTGGTCCTGTGGTTCCAAGAGGAGGGTCAACAACAAGCAGAACTAAACCAAAGCGTTGCCATGGGGACCTGGAGAAGGCGTGTACTTCGGCTGGAAGGGGCAGGAGGGATGATCAGGAAAGGCCTCCCTGGGGAGGTGGCATTGAACTGGGAGCCGGGAAGAGGGACCCTGCTAGAAAGAATGGTCAACGCAAAAGCCATATTTGACTCATAAAGCAAAGACGGCACAGAAAGGTCAAGTAACTTGGCTCCAGGTTGCCAGGTGACAGAAAGCGTGCCGGGAGTTTCAACCCACTCCTCCGCTCCAAGAAGCCCCCCAAAGTTTCACCCTGCTGTCCCTACCCTCACTGCTGCTGAAAAGCCCGTCTATCCAGCTGCTGAGCCAGCTCGCTTCTCTAAAGGGCCCAGAGTCAATAGGTGCCAAGGGGGACACCTGCGCCATGCACACCTGATCTGCCTCTGCATTCTGGGCCCCCCTGTAAAGGGTCCTTGAAAGGCGTCAGCAGGACAGGCTGGAGTGGGAGAGGCCACAGCTTGGTCTTGCTGTTGGCCACCAGTCGGGGCCGGCTTTGCTCCACGTCAGCTGCTTATTCAGACTTGGCTGTGACAGGTGAGCACGTGCAGACCACACCAGTGGCGTCTCTCACGTGCATCTCCTGCCCCTGGGCCGCGAGCAGTCAGTGGGGACGCCGCGCCTGTGGGGCTCCAGGAGGGCAGTTACATGGCTGGGCACCACACTTACGGATCACCCGCTTGCTGGAGCCCCAAGCTGAGTGCTTGGCAAGCTCTTGTCCCAGTAGGGCTCTGCATGTCAACAACGGGCTTCTCCTGTCGTTTCTAGTTGCCCGAGCAGCTGAAGAGACGTGCAAGTGGGCGGCTGTCCACGCCTCCCTGCCTGGCATCTAGCCGGCCTCCAGATTTCCCACCCCACCCACTCTGTCCCCCCCGACCCCACGGGCTGACCTCACTCCCAGCATGGCCAGTCAGAGCCCTGAAGCCTGCCGAACACCACGAGCAGTTTGGAGCGAGCCAGCAGGGGCTGACGAGAGAGGAGCAGCTCTCTTCCTGCC